ATTACTATTTATCACATTCTCACTGAGGCAGGGACCCAGCATGTCATGCGCTTTTTAAATTGGTTTTATAGGATCAGAGTACATATACAAGATGCTATAAGAGATACACTCTCCTTTTTAAGACTAAAAATGGTAAAGATGATATATCTCAGTCATATGGAAAGTATTTATGAGAATTACGACAACAAAAAAGCAGAAATGAGAATTGAAAAGACAGTATAATTGATGATGACAATTGTAATATAGCTTAAACGTAGAGCACTTATCTAGTATGCACAAGGTCCCACATTAAATCCCCAGCACCACAAAAAACAAATGAGAATATAATTGATGCTTTCCAGCGCCTGGGTTATTTTGCTTGAAACTGGGACCCAACATTTGGTTTTCCTAATTATATGGGAAAATAACTTCATTTTACTCCAATTAAGATGAATTAGGTTTACTGAATTTGTTATTTGTGAAATTAAGCATTCAATATCATCAGAAATTCAAAATTATTTTATGAAGGTAGCATTTTAAATTTAAATATAAGCAAAACAAGTACTATATCACAAATATTATTTTTAAATGGGGCAAAAGGCTAAGAATATGGCTCTGTGGTAGAGTACTTGCCTACTATATGCAAGGCTATGGGCTTATCCCTACTACCACAAAAAATAAAATAAAATGGAGTAAAGGTTTTGATAACATGTCATTGGTTTGCCAAAAAGAAATCCATGCCCATCATCAGTGAATAAATTTGTTTTTGTTATAATTAATCTACATGGTGCTATTATACAAACACTAAAATATTCGTAAGAGGTTCTCAACAGTATTATATTCTGAAAAAGTTAGAACTGTAAATCATTTCTAGATAACAGAATTTTTCCTGCAGTACTTATTAAAATGACCAACTTTTAAAAGGTATTGAGTAGTTTTAAATGTTTTTTCAATTTTACTGATATTGCTCCAAAAGTGAAATAAAAAGTTCCCTAAAATAAGCAACAGAGAATAAGCCAAACAAAAAAAGTATTATCACATATATTAAAATTCCATGGCATATTTTTAGAAAGCAATTTAAATACATAAAAGCCAATTTTAAAAAGTAGATTGATATGTACAGAAAAGGAAAGCATTATATGGTATACTGAGAAAAGCAAGCTACAAATCAATATGCATATATACTTATATATAACACATATACCTTTATATATAAATACTTATCAGATAGCATGTTCTTGTCTATAAAAATGGTGAATACATGAGTAAACAGTAAATAAAGTGAGCACTACAAAAAACACTTCATTTTGTTTATTTCACTTAATTCTCACAAACCAGTGAAACACAAACACATCTACACCTCTATCAATATGTATCCATCTACACATACACATACACACAAACACACACAATCTATCTATCCACATTCACTCCTATTTATGTGTATTTATATCAGAAAAGGATAAGTACCTACTAATAGTTACCTCTGGAAAATGGTATTTTTTGGAGTGGGAAAGAGGGTGGAAAAAGATGTGAGGGAGAACTTTCACTTTTAGTATAAATTCTGCTGTAGCACTTTTTTATGTTTAGCTTCTACTTCACTTAAAAAAAAACAAACAGCAAAATAAACATTCCTTTGGAGCTTTTACCACAAAAACAGGAAAAAACAACTTTTATAATATAAACAAGATAAAACATTTTCATCTTTAAAAATTAAGATTTTAGATTATGAGCATGCTGTCAGTTTTAAAAACAGAATTCTAAAATTATATTCATCAGCAGTCTGCTATACACATTACTTTATCTAGTGAAATGATGTCAGAAAGCAAGCATGGTGTGTGACATTCACATGATTAAAGGATCACATCACTAGCTGCCTCTCCTCATACCTTAAAAGGAAGTTTTAGAAATAAAGTTCACCCTATACAACATTTTAGCATCACTGGTCTTCTTAAGTAACTTAACATAACAGCTAAGGTTATACTTAATAACAAAATAAATAATAGTGAACACAAAAGCTCATATTTAAAGGCC